ACGTTGCAATGTCTGATGGAAGATGATACAATCGAAACTGCAGCACCTCGTACCTTCATAACACACCGTGAACGAGAAAAGTGGCTAACGCAATTATAATATCCGTATCACATGTCGAGTGCCAAACGATGCCAATTCCATGCTAGCTATCGTGTGTATAATGCATAGTTCTCGAAGCATTTTCTGCTCGATTGACACGTCATCGTTCTACGATTCGTACTAGCGCACCTGGACTATTCCATGCATGCAGACCTCCACCTAGAGCAAGATAATTGAAAAGCTGACGAGTGATTAAAATATTATCACCGACAAGTATAAACGTAAAACGACCGTAAAGAGCTGTTCGATAGACTGTTGGTACCATTCAGTTTGATATAGAAGATCTAATGTGGGGTGATGCATATATTATGTCATGCCCTAACAGAGAAGAGGGGGTATTAGATTTTATAGCAAGCAATACATTAGATATAAGAAAAACGTGACGAAAGGGGGGAAGGGGGACATATTATTCCTCAATTTAACGTGACATAATTAATACATGTCCCCTGTAGGGATGATAGGAGAACTTCATTCCTTTATTGAAAATGAATATAATAGGAGCAAATCAAGATTCACTGATAAACTACCACGATAAACATAAATCATTTTTAACCGTTACGCCCCGTAACGCAGGTAGGTCGCCTCTTCGTGATGCGTTACGGTTTCAGATCTATCACCAAACTCTAGTTCTGACTACTTCAAACTAGAAGAACAGGATTTTTCAGTAATCAAAGGAACACACCTTAGTCATTGTTACACAGATAAAAATTCTGAATTTTAATTGTGATGTAAACATTCATCCACGTAAACTTGTATTTTATTTCACGCAACCGAGCAACTTGTAAACAATGTTGTTTACTAAGATGGGCTTTTGTATACAATATTTGCTACATTGCATGAAATGTGGGAACTTTACATGCTATATAATGTAAACGTATATGATATCCCAAGTAACAATTCAGTAACCATTTGGCATCCACTCTGATTTATGATGGTTTTATAACGGCAATGAACAATCCATTGAGTTTAAATACAGCATTTCAAAGTGTAAAACATTCTTGCTTACACACTAAGAAATTATCGCTGACTTCGGTAATGTTTACCGAAATCTGAACAGCTGAACTTTTCGGTAAAATTTATGCAATTCAATTCAATTGCTTTGCAGCTACTTTGCAACTAGATCTCCACTAAAATGACAAGATTTGATCATTTAAACAAGGTTGAACATGTTTTTATATTATTTTCAAATTCAAAAGCCTTTAAAATGAAGGTCAAAGTTTTACCGAACGTTCAGCTATTCTGCTTTCGGTAAAATTTACCGAACACGGAAACAAAATCTTAGTGTGTAGTAATTCAGCTTTTTGCTGTTTTAAAAACCTTTTATAGTCATGGCAAGAAAGTCTAAAACTGTCTTGTTTTCAATCCCTCCTTAAAACTGTTCTGCAATTCAAGAATAAACATCATTATCAATTGTTTATTAATGTCTTGATAAAATACTTTATAAACGCGTTCTATCATTATAAAGGCAACCATAAAACCATTAGGTTTTTCATTAGATTAGAAAGCATTTATTGTTGCTTTTTAGGTTTTATTTTTTAAAATGCATCATAAACTCCCCACTCTCTCTCTCTCTCTTACAAATTGAGCCTAAAAGATGGTTCCTCATAATTAATAAAAGCCAAAAATTATGACAAGGAAATCTCAAAGTATTCGGCTAGGATGAAAAATTCAAGTCGATTTCAGCAAAATTTACTTCTGGCGGAGAAGAGTAAAGTGAGCGTGGCCCTCAAATTCATAAAACATTGTCGATAGTTTAAAAACATACCAGCCTTCTCCAGATCTTGCGTAGATGACAATCTAAATAACAACGGACAGCAAACCACTGAAACTGTTAGTTAGCGGAGATTAGCTGGTTTCCGATCCATAGCATCGTTGGATGGTGCACTTCTGTAACCATCCGGAAGAAGGTGATCTTTTTCGGGAACGATTGCAATTCCAGCTGTTCGAAATGCGAAATGTTGCAAAACAGTATCGACAACTATCTGAGTAACTGCTCCCAATCCATCGGTAGAAAACCGGCTGGAAGAATCCTGGATCCCACAGCGCAACTATCGAAAGATAAACAAACTTTGACGTTTAACTTTTTGCAGGCTACTTTGCCTCCATAAATGCTGCCATAAATCTGTTCGGGTTAGGATCAAGCAAAATGGCTTTAGATAAATGCAATTCAACCTGCAATTTTTCTTCATAAAAGCAATTTTAAAACCTTATGAATTTGTTAAGGATTTCTTGAAAGCTGGTCTTTATACGTTCGACGGAGCCGCACAACTACCACCAACCAACCGGTAGTTTCACTGTATTTCTGGATGCAGTCACGACAAGTCCGAAAACTTCACGGGCGGGATATGCCGTTGGACCGATTTCGAGGGACAGTGATATCTGGCTCTGATCGGGAAACCCGGATCCTGCAAAGAAATGAGGAAAAACATAACCTTCAAATTAGTTGGAACGCCGATTTTGCTGATGGGGGGAATGCCATATAACGAAGAAGATTTTACTTACGGAATATTGAGAGCGGCCTCACGGAACAAGCTAAAAATCCTGCCACACACAAAGTACCTTTCACCGATATAAATTACTATTATAATTGAACACGGAAACACTTCGACAACTTCGACTGAAAACGCGACGCGACCGACTTCAACGAAAGTTTGCTGTCAACTGAGCGGGCACAATTTTTTCATCCAAAATTAAGTTTAAACTACCCAACGTCAAGTTCGCTCAAGTAAACAACACGTTGAGTAATTTCTACGTAATTTTGAGTTATTTGAAACTTGAAATTTTTTTTTGAGATTTGATCAGGGATCCGATTTGAATTGGACGTGAATGCAAGATAGAGAAAATGATTATCTCAGTTAATAAGGGGTTTAATTTAATTTGCATTTAATTGTTTAAAATTAAAAAAGAACAGTTGAGTTTCGCGAATGTGTTGTGCGGAATCCAACAACATTATGGAGCATATTTGCAGGAAACGTTTTACAAAAAGTTCAAATAAATACACCAACGTTCGTGTTAAGTGTGGAATACTATTCGAACGTGAAAATGAACATGAGTGATACCTAGTTATATTTTGCAGGATATTTACGATCATTAACATTTTTCTGTCAAATCAAAGTTTTTTTAAACCTATTAATGAGTTCTTCTGAAAGTACCTAAACGTTAGGTAAAAAGAACCTAATAACGAAAGCGATATTTACCCAATCGTTTAGTTCAATCGGAAGAAGCCAATTTTAGGTTCTTTTGAACTTAATATTAGGTAGTTTTCTATTTCCGTATACACACTTATAGCGAATTTGTTTATTATTCAGTTCCAACCTGGATCGGGTATCAAGATCGGCTCTGCTTGTTTTCTGACAAGCGTCAGTTTGATCGTTTGTTTTTAAAACCTGTTTTAAAATCTCAGGTTGAGGTTCGCACTGACAAAAAGTTCGGTTTCACACTGATTTGCACCGCCGACTAGCTCGGCATTTTATTTTACTGGATCTCAGTGAAAAACTTTCCGAGATTCGATTAACAAACGAGAATTTATATGAGATCTCAGCTAACGAACAGAAATTTGGCTGAGATCTAAGTAAAAATAAATGGCAAAACTAAGTGTGTACGTTTTACGCCTTGTAACAAGACTCATATTGACCACCGAGATCTTGTAACAAGAAGAATATTTGATAGTCTTCTATGTGATTCCTAATCTTCATTCTTTGTTCTACGTGCTATGCCTTGTTAATAGAAATAAGTCCTCGGGTTGCATAACCGATAATGGTCTTGAAACAAGAAAAAACTGAGTTAGTCTTCATCTTCTATTCGGTGTTCCATAGCTTGAAGTGGTTAAGACTAGGGTTCTGATGCATGGTCATTATCGATGTCATTGCTTAATTTTGTTGCTAAGGAATCCAATTTTGACTGACAAAGGGGTGCGTCTTTGAAGGGTGCTCTCACTTTTCGAAGGGTATAAATAGCGGGACCTTTGAATTAGAATTGATTCCTTGCTATGAAGGCTGTAACTGTATCTAAACCAAATACTTCATCAATATGACATACACTAAACTAAGGACACAGAAGATACTACAATAGATTAAATTACTGGTTGTAAAGGTTTTATGTCACGAATAGAGGAAAAAACGTTCAAAGGCACATCCACGTTCAGATATAAGGGTATACACATAGTTTTGTTTCCAAAATCTCGGTTATTTCGCGACCGGCGAGCTGCTCGGCAGTAAGTTTTACTGAGATCTTGGCAAAAATTATGTTTGTTTGCTGAGTCTCGGTAAATGTTTCGCTTAATCTCAGCAAGCAAACGATCTTAGTAAAACGAATTGTCAAGCTACTCGGCGGTGCCGAAATTAACGAGATTCAGCAAACAAAACTAAGTCTGTTGGGTAAAGTATGAACAGGATGCAATTCTTGCAGTCTTATAAGAAATAAAGTTTTAGCTTAAAACATTATATCTATATGAAACTGATGATACCCGTTCAGAATACAATAACAGTATCGATTATTACTTACTCAACTTACTCTTTGAACACTTTCACAGTTGTTAATTGAGAGCTGTCTAAGCCAGTACACAGCAAAAAATTAATTTTAATATCGCACCAAAGGGGATGCACTTCAATCATGTCGAAAATATGGTGTAATATTACTTGCCAAAAAGGGCAAAATTGTAATTAATACAGTGCATGAACTGACATTACACTGTTTAAATATCATGAGCGTTCGCAGAATAAAATACTAAGGTTGTAAAACTATTGGTTGGTTGACACCCTAAGGAAAAACATTGATTTACTACATTAGATAGAAGCTGAATAACATCATAACTCTTGTATTCTATTGATTGATTGATGATGATTGGGTGGCTTATTAAAGCATTATAAAAGATTAATATTCTATTTTAATTTATTTTCCAGACTACGAAAAGTGAAAATGGACCAACGAAAATTGATGGACAACGCTAACACGATAACCGACATGGCAAAGGTTGTTAATTCACTTCACTCCACCGAACGAAAAAACTAAGTAACATTTTTTCTTTCAGACTCAAAACACCGTTTACGAAATCGTTTCCGACATGTCATCAAGGCAGGATTCACTGGAAGAGCGCATCACTACCTTAGAAGATAAGTTACAATCCATACAGGTATGTTACGGTTTCATTTAGCTGCCACATGCCCACATTCCGTTTGTTATGAAATATTACTTTTAGACGCAAATCGAAAATCTTCCGGAAGTTTTGACCCGTTGCCTAACACAGCATCAAGAGCGCATAGATCAACGAAGAAACTTTCTCCATCCTGATGCGGCAGTAACGGGGTCATCTTCCGGTTTACCAACTCCGGCTCCTCCACTTGGTTCACCAATGATGCTGCCGCACTCCAGGTATCGTGAAGCATGCCGCAATAATTTCCTATTCTCGTAGAAGCTGCATCCGCATATTGACCACATCTAACAATCAAAAAACAAAACTGACCCGTTCGAACAAACAAAATGAAATCCCCTCAAAAAAAATAACAATACGCTAAACAAAAGACACGTGTACGTCACCTTCCCGCCTGCTTCCGAGTTGATGTTCGGTGTTTAGTTCTCATCATATTTCGTAAACCAGTTTCTCTTTTAGGAGTGTCCCATCGTCATCGACACCGGCCTATCCCTGGCCCGCAAGTCCTATACTCCCGCCAATCTCCAGTAGAACGCCACACCTGGTCCCGGAAACGCTCACTCCCGCACCGGTGACGACGGCAGCATCGACCCTATCAAATTCGATCACCTACCCAAGTGGTTATCATTCTGCCTTGCAATCTGCCAGCAACCAGTCGTCTACGACCGGGGACACGCAAACGGTTACCTATAGGGGAACCAGCTGAATCGAAACCAATAGCTCAAACTCTATCTCCCTTATTTCATTCTCCAACTCCAACAACTCCAACCCGAACACCCCCACCCCGTCATCTAGTAATAGTAAATTCACCAAACAGCGGGAACGAGCGACGCGATTCTAGTTTTTAGCGGTACCCTTCCGAACCACACACTGAATTGTCACCAACTGGCTTAGAAGAGTAGAATGAACTGGCACATGTTGTACGTTAGGTACAACAAGCAAGACTTAGGGCGGCCGGGAACCAAAAGTGCATCGATACTACTTACTACAAAGGCAGAAAACTAACGAAAACGTTATGGATGGTGTGGTGACGATAATAATAACAATGATGATGATGATGATCATGATAACGTAGATAATTATATGGAAGATGATTGCAGTGACACTGAGTGTGAAATGAATGGACGTTTGGTGTGCGCAACGGAGGAAATGGTTTAAAAAAGACTATTTAGCGATTAGCAAGTAATTAAAGAGTAACGATGATAAAATTCAATAACAACTAACAAGCCACACGGAACGGGGGAAAATTGGCTGTAAATTTAATATGCAATCCATCACTAGAAGGGGTTTAATCCATCGTAAGGGATGTAGTTTCCGTTATAAGTAGTGGATGAGTATGACGAAACAAGATTTGAAAAATAGTTCATTAGTTTCAACCTATTAGCACTTAGTTTAGTACTGATGAATTTAAATTGTTACCTTTAGAATATTAGTGACATTCTCCGAAGTTTTGTAGGAAATTCTATCTCTTTGTTTAAGTATGGGCTTTAAGTGACATAAAGAGAAATATTTTTATAAAAAAAGCTACGAAAAACTTTCAAAAAGTTGACAAAAGACATAGTAATTATAACACGGAACTAAGCAAATATATTACCTATTAGTTTTATCAGAACACTCCAGATAGCAGCAAAAAGATTCAGATTGTAAAATTGGGTCACATCAATCGCGAACTATCCATTTCCTCAAGGACTTTGTTCGTATCATGATCCTCATAGGTGAGAAAAATGTCTTAAGACTGACAAGCCATCATGTATGTTTTGATTTCAACACAATAATGTCCGAAGGAAGCGATTGAGAATCGTCAACAAATTTGCTGTTATCTGCTCGGTCCCTTTCAAATACTTTCACCTTTCCATACTTCTTGCGTAGTTCAAACTATCGACTTTCGAAAGACCCTGCACACAATCGCTACAGTGACAAATATACAATTTCAAAGTGACTGAAATCTTCCTTGTTTGAGGAGTGGGAGAAACAATATTGCGAACATTAGCGAATGAATATGATTGACGATCCGTTCAGAAGACAGCATTTCTACAAACTTTTACGATTCGGAATGTAGTGACCATACAGATAGTTTAATCCAAACATACACCACATGTAATGTGATATTTAGTAATACAGTTTTAATATGAACACGAAGAATTTTGTAAAAATAATAGACAACATACTTTCAAAAGTATAAGTGAACTCCTCTTCAAAAGGATCATATCTAAGCAAAACATTGTCTTCAACATTACTTCACGTATAAATCAAATGTTATGACTTCAATGATGTTAATTTTCTGAACGTTGAAAAACCGTTTATAGTATATTACAATCTGTATAACTTCTCTGATTTAAGTGCCTTGTAAAATCCACTACAGTCTCTACTTCATACAGATACACGAAAACTAAACACATTATAAAAAAAAACTTTCAAATCCCACCTATAGGCAACTATGCCTCGCTTTCTTCAATATGAAACAAACAAGTTTGGCTTTCTTCATTCCACTCTTCCAGCTACTCCTCTGTCTAGTCCCATTAACAAAAACTGCGAGTGTTACTCCAATAGGATCTTACGATATATAGCAGGCTGTGCAAGCTGAGTAGGCTTAGAGTCCATTACGACCGGCAACGTTCCAAAGGACGAATTCGAAGCTAAATCCGCGTAGAAAAAAGCGGACCAAAATAGATTTCAGTTGCTGAAACGTTACACTCTCCTGAAAGAAAAGTAGTATTCAGAGTTTTAGATAAACGATAAAACATAAGGTTAACAATTTCCGAGGTAAACTTGAGAAACTTAGCATTAGTCTAGTGATCAACTATGATAGTGTATTCAAACTAGATTGTTATGCTGATCATCTCCTGTCGTAAGATGGACAACGGCGTGAAAACGAGAAGATAAGAAAAAGATAACAAACTGTATTTTAGTTCTCAGTAACGAATGTAGCACAACCTTGACACAAGTTTTATTATATTTTTATTACCTCAACGGATTTTATAGGAGGATAAACCAACTGCAAGGTAAACCTGTATAGCAAAGAAAACGCCGGTTTCCAAATCCTACTCACAGTATGACTAAAACGAACCGATGAACTGCAGCCCATTGCAAGTCTAATGAAACTAGAAAAAAAACGAAACCATTATGTAAAAAGATTAACAGTTTTATAGAAAAGATAATCATCATTTCTATAAATAAGAGAAGAATCGAACAAAAGTCTTGGTAAAATTGCTTTAAATAACGTAACTGAGGAAACTAATCCCATGTATCTGAGCGATGGTTCAACTGTTTGTCGTTACACACTTCAACAACACCTGGTGCCACATTATGTGAGCCGATTGCACCACCTTCATTTTTATACATCAAGCAGTCCACACAGACTTCCATTAAAAATCCCTGAAAATCCAATGCGAGTTAATCAAAGTTTTACGATGACTAGATGAAGCAACGATGTCTTCACATAATCACTTCTTCTTTACCGATTTGAACTTCATCTAATTAGCGCTACCTATACTGCCTTTCGCAGAGTTTGCGTTTGAAGTAGGCATTTGCTTCAGTAGGATCGTAACAAGTCAAAAAAGAAAAAAAGGCGTTTAAAGAGAGAGAGAAGGAATAGTAATTTCCATTTAATTCCCCTACCTTATTTGCATATCCTTGACAGATACGCGTATTTCGTCTACAATGTGCAGACATCTTCAGTGTCTTGTACTAATAGTACTATTAGTACAAGACACTGAACTATCGACTATTAGTATTCCACTATAAGACGCCGACATTCATCAGGATTAAAAAAATGTGTAATTCAAATTTAAACTCATTGACATTTCCGACTGAATATGGTTTTGGCCAGACCACTTTAGAGTATTCCATTTTGAGAATTAGACAGTACCTACTCCTTTTTAACATTGATGAGCCTTTATTTTGGAAACATGGACACACTTTTCGTTTTCTCAATGATTTATAGGAAAACTCTTGTGTAGCTTCATAAATGCTCTAAAGTCTCCAATTCATGTATCTCGAATTCTCAAAAATTAATGTATCTAAAAGGTGAAAAAACACGAATTTGGGCAAATTGGAGGTACAACAACAATCTTTACAAGATTAGAATATGTTTACGATCGATTAGAAGCTCGGTCAAGAAATGACGAAATGGGTGCTTGGGACCGTAAAAGATAATTAACTATTGATTTTATCGTGCAAAGATGTCCAAAATCCATAGATTGAATGGATGACCGGGTTGAATTTCTATTGAAGATATTTTGGGACATTTGACATAAAGTGCGGTCGGTTGTGCAATGCTACGACAGCAGCTTTATTGTTAAATGGTTCTCTTTCGTGCAGTTTAAAAAAAAACTATATGCCAGATGGATGGCGAAAAAAAAAATTTATCTTGCACACCCACGTCGAGTGGTGCACAATTTCGAGTAAGCCAAAATATTGTTTTGAGGTTATCGAAACCCGTGCAAAATGTTTTGGCACTTGTTTAAAAGGCTTTGTAGAGCCAGACTTTTCAAAAAAAAAATCACAAAAAATGGTGGTGTTTTCAAAGACTTATAGGCAAAATTTTGTTTCGGAATGATAAATTATAACATTTGTACCAACTTTGGGGGCATATAACAAGGAAAATCAATAGTGATTTTATTTCAGAGCATGATTGCATTTCTCTTGAAGATGCTCATACTTTTGATATGTCATCAGGAAACTGGAACTACCTATAGTGGGACAAAAGTTCGAGTCGTTGGGACACCCATGTAATCACTCACAAATGCCTAAACGGAGCTGTTTCATGTCGCCGAAGGACGTTTCGCCGAAGAACATTTCGCCAAATGGGTCATTTTGTCGCTCATGAAGGAAGCATTCCTATAAATCAAAAATATCTATTATTTTCGTGGATAGTGTTGCAAAAGGGGAGCGGGACATTTCGCCGGAAGACGTTTTGCCGCAGGTCATTTCGCCGAATGGGTCATTTCGCCGAAGAGCAAGCCATTTTCTACGGCTTTTGAACTTTTCTCACAGCTCAGTAAATTTTGAAATCGAAAAAAGATTAAAAAGGTTCGATTTTTTCAACCTGGTAAGCTATTCAAATGTAATGCTTCCTTTTTTGAACAGTTCTTTTGAGTTGTACTGACTTCAGAAACTTTCAAATAATAGATATTTTGTATATATTGGAATACTTGCTTCTATTAAACATGAGCAGTTCTTTCAAGTTGTGCTGATTTCTGAAATTTCATTATTTTCAATATTTTTGATTTATATGAATGCTTCTTTTTTAACATGAGCAGATCATTCGAGTTGTAATGATTTCGTTATTTTCTAAATAATCAATATTTAAAGGAATGCTTCTTTCTTTTAAACATGAGCAGTTCTTTTGAGTTGTACTGATTTCAGAAAATTTTAAAAGATCAATATTTTTGATTTACCTACATGCTTCCTTCTTTCAAACATGCGCAGTTCTTTCGAGATGCTATACATGGGAATATCTATTATTTAAATGTGATCCAAATTCATTTCGATGGTATATTGACTTCTTCTTCTTCTTCGTATTTCAAGCTTATTGCAGATCGCATATTAGCTTATTGTGTGCTCTCAACTTCGTGTTCTAGATGCACTTCCACAGTTATTAATTGAGAGCTTTCGATGCCTGTACCATTTTTGCATTAGTCCAATCATACTTCTATGCCCAGGGAAGTCGAGAAATTTTCCAACCCGAAAAATTCCTAGACCGGACCGGGAATTGAACCCAGCCACTTCCAGCATGGTCTTGCTTTGTAGCTGCGCCTTTACCGACTAAGCTAAGGGAGGCCCCAATTTGTTTATTGAGTCATGATTAAAATTCGGTGAAGTGACCCATTCGGCGAAATGTCCTTCGGTGAGATATTCTTCGGCGAGTTTTTTTTACAGTTTTCCTGTAATTTATTACAGATATATCAGTCAAAAATTACAGGGAAACTGTGAAAAATCACCGAACTGTTTACCGAACGTTCACCTGTTGAGATTTCGGCAAAATTTCACATAAATCTGTGAAATAATCTTACTGTGCAGCAAACAGCAAACAACTTTGTCGAAGATAGCTAGTACGTATTTTTTTTTTACTTTTGAAGATATTTGACGTTTTTAGCTGACAGCCTTTAGCGGAGTATTCCAAGCGTAATTGGTGAAATTATCCAAAACTTATCTTGCGACGCATCATACTGCCTGAAAGCTCAATTAGCAAGAAAACATTGGCCTTACAAGCACCGATAAGGTGACCAGAATCTGGTGTAATCTAAAGTCAACATCATTATTCATATTCATGATTATTTGTGCTGGGCTTGTTCCGAGTGCTCCCTGTCCAAAATCTGCATGTGTCAAAATGTATCGCATGAAAATTCAAAAACAGACCCACATATCATTCAGAATTTAGCTTAATTCTCTTCCCTAAATGCGGACTATCAATTTCGTCGGAATATATGAGTCATAAGGGTCAAATCTAACCGTAGGTAGATCAATTTAGGTTTTCCTCTTCCGGTTGCCTATCGAGATTCCATTTGAGACAGAAATTCATCCGGAGTAATTCCACCTTACAGAGATAACATTATTATTATTACATTATTCCCAGCATAGAATATATTCCCCTTCCGATTAAGGTAGGAGGGAAGCTCAAGTATATACCTCGCACACCTGTGTACGTATTGAGGCCTAACTCTACTGGGAATGTCTCCCGGAAGATACGTTTCATTTTTCTTGTTTCCCCAGCATTTCAACTAGCACCTCCGGTGGTAAGTCTTACACTCGTACGTATTACAAGCGACATCCGTACCTCTATTCAGTGCTGAGTGTCAGTGAAAAAAATCACGTGATATCGACCAAATTATTTTTGACATCGTCACTAGCCGAATTGATTCTCAATAAAACCATCGTCTTATTCATTTTTAATCAATGGCAAAGATTCATTTGCTAACAAAAAGAGTAATTTCAAGCATTTTGTGTCACATTATTGATAGTCAGGCAGCTAATTTAGCTAATAACAAAAACTGCACATGTTCGTCACTGACATGGTTTCCCATGAAGATTACTTTTTGTTCGAATGAGCGACCAAAGATTTTTGTCATTATAGTCGTGTCTGGTCGAGATTTTTCAACACTGCCTTCATTTCTTTTCTACGAGCTAATGGACAACCAATTGCTCGCTGTTATGCATCATGGCATAATTCATATTTGTTTCAGATTAGAATTTGATGAAGATCGCCTTCTCCTCAGCAATCCGATAAGTGGCGTCCATGTCAACAGGATTAGCATTCAGTGATTTCACGACCATCTCGCACATGGTGGGCTTTGCACTTCCATTTGGATAGGTAAAACACAAGGTGTATTTTATTTCGGCCAGATCGAAATGTTTACTTCCAACGACGACAAAATCACTGAGCAGCAAACAATGAACAAAGCGCATCAAACAAAGTAAGCAACTGTCGGTAGTATGCTTGACTCGAAAACAAGCGCTGCTGCTTCGGAAGCTGAGAGCAAACTGATGGATTCTTCATGTCTTACACATTATCATGGAACCTTTAAAGAATTCAAGTAGCAAAGCTTCTCAAAAACTAAATCGTTAAAGTTCGTTTTTAACATTCTTCTGGTAAATCGTTCTAGCTACGAATTAACTACAAATTCATCAAGTCATTGTGAGAGAAAATCGTAAACCTTGAATCAATTGTGTATGGAATTATTTTAATTTTAAATGTTTGGAGTTTTGAGCTAAGGTCAAACCTTAACACGCCTTACTCTACACTCGAAAATTTCGGTTTATCTCCTTCACCTTTCACTGTCATTCTTAGAAATCAGCGTCAAAGTGCAATAATGGCGACAGTGGCAAAGTGGAGATCATTTTTGTCTACAGACCGAGAAACACAAGCTGGTAACACATTTCTTAATTTGCTATTTTCTGTCAATGAGTTTTCCTTACTATCATATATCACACTTCTGTAGATGCTGCAGCATTGCTCTTTACAGTGCAATTAATCCTTAGCATATCATTCGGATCCGTGCTTTTTCACATCTCAGCGACTGTAGTCGCTACTATAGTAATGTCTCTTTTTTTTATGTTCGTTTTCATATACTTAGGTTCTCAGTGGCATTGTTTGGAACCTAGAAATATTTGACCAACTATAGATTTCTGTAGCATGTTTATTCCATAATCTACACTATTACACTATTCATATCATGTCGATCCAACTGTTCGATACAGGATACCTTCTCTAATCGAATCGTCGCTGTTGCCTGCCCCGGGGAAACTCAGTTGTTCCATCACTCAGAGCATCCGGAAGGAAAAACTAGGTCGTTCCTGAAATAAAAGATGAGATATTGATTAGTTTAAGTTATATGTAGACAATTTAAGGGTACGTAAGAGGATTTTTAATAATGTAAAATGCACAAAATAAAGAACAGACGTAATTCTACCTGGTATTCCCAAAAGTGTTAACAACATGATGTCATTCTTCAGTCACGATGGTTCGAAACGAAAATATTCAAACAACAAAATAAAATATCCACCCACAAGTATACCAACGATGCGAGACCTCCTCCCTCTTCAAAGGCATATTATACAAGCAAGTCCAGCAATTATGCACTGAGAGAATGTTTAAAATCGAAATCCAGATTATATGAAACACATTTACTGTGGAAGATATTCAAACTTCACTTGCTTCAGTTATGGTTTCAGAGAAGTTTGAATGTTAAGTCTCGAGCATTAACAAAATACAGCATTTAAAGTGAGCAAGACACGTCTCATCTGACATACATTCATCGAAATTGGCTTAAAACAGTACACTAGGGTGAGTAATTCGTATCACGGAAACAGACATAACAGGAAGCCAGAGTAAAGGATTGTATCGAATGGTGAAGTAAAATTTTATTTGACCAGGGAAAGGAGTATAGCAGCAATGCTAATATTTCCTCAAGCATTTTATTTTACAATAAATTCCGGTTTTAAGGAACTATCGTTTAAATATCTACATGTAAATCCATAATCAAGTATAGTGTAGTCATTTCTCGTGCCATTAAGTTTCTCAACAAATTCGATAAAAGTAGCCTTAAACCTTTGAACTAGAAACTAAATATAATGGAAACAAATTATTCTGAGCGATATATTGAGACGAAAGTTAAACTTTCAACAGTATGTTAAACATTTCTCAAATTTTAAAAAAACGCATATACACAATTTTAACTTATTTATATATGGAACAAGTTGAATTGGATATAAAATAAACAATTTCTGATGTGGCTGATATTTTTTACCAAAGAAAACTTTATCGTTACACCTACACTGAATAGAGAGATGACTCGCAGATATCAGTTCGGTCGTTTGTTATACAAAATTAACCATACGGAGAAGAAGAACTCGTTTAAAATTTCGATAACAACATGATTCTAAAATCAACGAGAAGATTAAAAATCACGAAATAGTTTTTAAAAACAAATGCTCCGTTTAGCTGTTTTTATAAACCTCCAAACTAGAAATATAGACAAGCCCCTTTTCCCCCTAAACATCTATTCCATTTATTTAGAAATAACTTGCAAAAACCCTCTAAATATAAACAAATCATACTCTCAAAACAGTTCAATCCATTATTGTAAACAAAGAGAATCTCTTCTTAAGATAAGAAATATCTCATAATCGAAAAAAGTGAAACGTGGCTGAACCACACAATGCTACAACAAACTAAAAAAAGGAGCGTTTTCATCACAATAAATGGAAGGAAATCAGCAAATGACCAATTTCTTACGAATGTTACGAAAAGATACAACCAGAATTTTATACCAAAATATATAGAAGTTTATAGGTTCCGTATGACATTACAAAACTGTGAAATATATTGTTTAAGTTACTTTGAAATTCATTTTCGAATATAAGTTACGAATAAAGAGTTAAAATTTTATCAAATTGAAAAAAAAAATCACAGCGAGCAGAGGTAAACAGACAAATTACACAAAATTACAGCAAAACAATTAGAGGTTTCATCCGGTTATTTCACCACTGGTCGTATTTTTATTTAAAACTCAAATCTAAAAAGCCTTGCACATTCAATTGGTAAATGTCCAAACCAGAAGCTTGTGAGATCCCGAATTCGAAGCAATACAGATCCAATTGACAAAACTTACCTTATCTATCAATCCCACTCACTGTAAACCATAAGTGGATGGTTGTGGCTTTATAGATTTGATTTGAAAATAAAATTACTAACAAAGCGAAATTACCGGATGAAACCGCTAGAAACAATAAAGACAGAATGAAATAATATAGCATATAGAAATAAATCATTGTAACAGACAAAATTCGTCACAGCCAACTGTAAATATACTCCCACTAGGCAAGATTATACAGCGCAGCATCAGCAAAATCGTCTGATGAAAAGAACAAACAACACATACTTACCCGTATTAAGTTGTTTTTTTTTATAATTATTATTAGTTTATACAATTTAATTCATATGCATAATAGTAGCGTGAAAAGCCTATTGTATATACTGTTATATAGTTTTAAATAAAAAAAATATTGAAAATCACGAAACAGGCGTTCATAATTAGTAAATGAGAAAAATCCATCCAAACGGCAAAATAGAAACTGTACTACTGTAAGGTAGTTGTATCAATTAGGAAACAGCGATTCCATTTACAGGTTTCCCGAGAGCCTTACCAGGTCAAGTTGGAAAACTTTTCAAGATGAAAACTGACTCGACTTCCCTGGTCATACCGGTGTCTTGCAACTCAAGATCTTCCAAGCTTGCCGTTCTAATTTTGATAATTATGTCAAGGTTTGGTTTATAACCGGTCAATTGACACTCACGGTTAACAAATCTCCAATGTCATCTGAGACGTTTTGGATTATTTTTCGGTACTTAGTCCATTTTTACTAAGCTGTTTTGCCTCACAATTGTTGCTTCTGAGAGTTGATGTAAGGTAAATTTTACATGAAACCTCAAAATGCAATTTCATACCTGTCAAATGAGTGAGATGTCGTCACTCTCCCTACAGGCACTGAGATTAAAATCATGATGTTCTGCTCAGTAAGCATAATTGGTCACTCTAAGGCTATCGAGCTCATCATGTAACATCACACAATTTATGATCGGATTGTTGTTGTTGTTGTAACCATTTAAACCCAGCTTCGACGACGACGACGCCAAGTTTTACAAAACACACGATGATCAAGTAACGTGAGTAAACAACTTCTTAATATGACGGGGCCTGTGTTTGATCCCATGATTTTCTACTTAGTACGCAAACACGGCTGCTCAACAAAAAAATAATTTTTATATCACATCAAAATGGATGCACTTCAATCGTGTCAAAAATATGGTGTAATATTACTTACCAAAAAGGACAAAATTATCATTAACACAGTGCATAAACTGACATTACGCTGCTTTACTGCATTTTTTTATTTTTGTGGCCTAAAAATTACATGAGATTTTCGACATGATTGATGTGCATCCTCTTGGATGTAATATTAAAATTTATTTTTGGTGTGTGTCTAAGGCAACCGAGGAGATTCAGTAGTGAAAGTAACAGCTGTAAAAGGCTGTCTTCAAGGAGGTGTTCTTTCTTCCCTTCTGTAGTCTCTAGTTGTTGATGACCTTCTTTTAAAACTAAAGCATCAAGGATTCGAAATAATTAGGTTTGCGGATGACATTGTCACTATACACAGCAAAAAAATAATTTTGATATCACATCAAAGTGGATGCACTACAATCATGTCGAATATTTCATGTAATTTTTATGACCACATAAATAAACAAATGCAGTAAAAGCAGCGTAATGTCAGTTCATGCATTGTATTAATGATAATTTTGTTCTTTTTAGCAAGTAATATTACACCATATTTTCGACATGATTGTAGTGCATCCACTTTGACGTGATATCAAAATTATTTTTTTGCTGTGTAGTCAGTGGAAAATTCGATAAAGTTGTTTTCGACAGAATGCAAAAAGCATTAAAATTCACACTATCGTGGTGCAAAGATGAGGGATTGAATGTCAATCCTACAAAAACAACTATTGTACCTTTTACTAAAAGACGTAAAATCTCTATCACTGATCTTAAACTAGGAGACGTAAAGCTGTCACTATTTTTAGAAGTAAAGTTTTTAGGAGTAACTTTATAGCGAATTTGTTTATTATCGGGGTTAACACCAGTTCCAACCTAGTGCGAAACCGAACTTTTTGTGAGTGTGAACCTCAACCTGAGCTAGGTTTTAAAAACAAACAAGCAAACTGACGTTTGTTAGAAAACAAGCAGACCCAATCTTGATACCCGATCCAGGTTGGAACTGAATAATAAACGAATTCGCTATTAGATAGTAAACTCTGCTGGAACAAACATATTGATCAACAAATAGGAAAAGCAACAAATGCTTTTTGGACCTGCAAAAGAACGTTTGGAAAAAAATGGGGTCTGAAGCCAAATATGATACACTGGATGTACTCGGCCATAGTTAAACCCAGGATTACCAACGCCTCACTTATATGGTGACCGAAAACTAAGCAACAAACGGCACAAGTCAAACTAATCAAGCTACAATGGTTTTCCCAAGAAACAATTCAGAGTCACAAATAAGCAAATATATTGAATAAATGCTTTATAACAGTGTACAATGCTGAATAAAACGGGTTGTCAAATTACGTTCTGGAAAAAGCTCATTGAGATCGATAGATGCGCCTTTATTCCGCTGTTTGCTCTGATTTGCTTAATATACTTATTTAAGGCTATACAAACGATGACTGTCTTCCTGATTCAACACCAGAAGTTTGATCTAATAACATACTGTCTTCTTTCCTTTATTTAACGTCGGTCTCTGTTCCGCAATCTAATGCCAATCCCCGACGGACATCGATTGCCATCCATTGAAGGCAATCGAATGTGCAGGAAGGCAGCTTCCACACCTGCGTAGGATATCGCACCCATTCAACACACATGGGCCGGGACCAACGGCTTTACTTCCCTTCCGAAGGAAGACGTGACCAGAGATTTTTATGCCTCAGAAAAATCCCACCGACCTTGGCTGGGATTGAACCCAGACGCATTGGGGTGAGAAAGCAGTCACGTTTACCACTACACCACCGGCACCGGCTAATAATAACATACTGAATAAGTGTAATTTGCACATAAATTGACGCTTTAATTCGACGGTTTTCAATTGATTTAATAACATGCTTTATTATAGTCTAATAATTGTTTTTTAGCTCCACTATTAGATTCCATTGCATTGCTTAACAATATTGCTGAATAAAGGTGAATACAGTCAGAATAATAGCTCTTATACCACTATGCGTCAATGTTTTAATTGCGTGCTTTATAAATGCTTTACAAACAGCGTATTCATTCATTATTCGACAACACCGTTTCAGGCTAACAATAAAACGAAATTGGTAGCATAGTGGTTACAGTTTCGGCTTTCCAAGTAGAAGGTCTCGAGTTGAATCCCAACTTCAACCCGTTTTTTTTATTTATTTTCTACGCCTAATTGATTATAATCGTTATCATAGATCGTATCACTCACGACAACCAATTCATCGATCTATCTAAAAGAATAGCCCAGCATCCTTTCCATCGAAATTAGAGAGATGTTAATTACTATGAATGAATTATTCATTCTCACATCTCCTTAAATTAGCTAGAGTTACGGCAGGGAGTGCTGATAGGTATTCAGATTCAAGCTTTTATTGCTTATTTATCTGTCCATATGATGTATTCTAGAATAGCTCAGATGGCAGGGCAAGCGGCTGGTGATCGGAAGGTCATGGTTCGAATCCCATTAACGACATGTGTGTGTATGTATGTATGTAATAAAATTACTAGTATGCTTCGACAGAAATAATAATGACACAACAATCACTAACCGAGAACAACCCTGCTCTGTGCCGTTCTTGTTTTCGGATTAATTATCCCGTAGTTAAATAATCGTTTAATAAATGCATAATAGTGTCTAATTAAACATTATTTCACATGAGAATCAAGCGTCTATAGAACCTTTATATACCATCGCTGTTTAAGGAAGTAATGATGTCTAATAAACGCTGAATAATCAAAAAATTGATCGGATAAAGCCCTGTTTACAACTCTTGTAAGTCGAATAAAAACTTCTCGACATACCTTATTCAACACCAAATATTTCGATGTTGTGGTTGAATAAATTCTCCAGATTTGTGTGAACAAAGCCTGAACAGAAGTTATTATTAACAATAATACAAGTATTATTAAGCATGCAGTTGAATAAAATCGTCAAGAAGTCGTTTCTTCAATAGGCAATTGTTTATTGGGTTGCTACTATTTCCATAACTGGAGCAATGCGTAGTACTCCCTCTACAGCCTTATGATGCAGTGAAAAGTGCTCTAAGGCTCAAACGGCCCATGAATTTCTTCGATGGAGATCTAAAAGAGTTTCAGATAAGTCCATTAATATTGATGAACGAAGATTGTATGCTAAAGCGACATTATTTCAACCATAATTTCCAAATTCCTGATGTGACTCGCGTTGACTGGGATGCAGGAAGACTGAATATTAGTCCTGGATCAGTAATTTTCTATACAGATGGATCGAAACAAGATAATGTGGTCAGGGCTGGTATTACCGGCCCTGGGGTTAACTTCTCGGTGTCCATGGGAAAATGGCCGACAGTATTTCAAGCCGAAATATATGCTATCTTAGAATGTGCAACGATTTGCATAAAAAGAAACTATAAAAATGCGAATATTTGCATTTGTTCAAATAGCGGCGCTGAATGCTTTGAAATCAAAAACTTACACGTCAAAACTAGTGTGGAAATGTACTAAACTATTACAGCAACTGTCCTGTCGAAATACGGTTAACCTTTATTGGGTACCTGGTCATTGTGGAATCGAAGGGAACGAAAAAGCTGATCAATTGGCAAAAATAAGGTCATCCACGAAATTCATTGGTCCTGAACCATTTTCTGAACTTTCTTTTTGTGCTTTAAAAATGAAGCTGAAAACTGGGAGAAAACAAAGGTATAGTACAACTGGCCAGTACCTTAAACCCGAACGCTTTGCATACACAAAAATTACTTTATCTTTCTAAAAAAGTAGAAGGGTCTGTGCCTAGGGGCACGAACGGAAGCTTGACGTAGGACCGCTAGTGGACGGAACAAATGTGAAGAGCATTTCGTTCTTTTAATTGATAAATTATCTATTATCTCAACTCTTTCCGTTTTTGAATTGTAGGCGTACCAAATTTGTAGTAATCTTTTTCAAATAGAAATTTAAGATTAAGAGAATCAATCAAAATCACTTGCACTGCACCCCTGATTCCAAATTTGGTTACAAGATTACAACTCTGGAGAGCATTTTGTGTAGGCGTTGGGGGTTGTGATTCTGGACAAACAAGCTCAGATAAATTCTATTTCAACTCTTTACTGATGTAAGCTTGATGGCCCTGAAAAGGGCCGTTTTATTGAAGAGATCCATGGCCACTTACGCTTGGCGTGTTTAGTGTAGGTGACAGCATCACGGACCTCATTTTCCAGGAACACCTTCAGTACACCTCGTAGATCAGATCGGAGATACGTTTGACACCACCACGGCGATCCAGACGACCGATGGCGGTTATCTCGAAGAACTTTGCGATGACGCTTGGCGCATTGCTGTTCACCACGCCGTCCGAAGCGAAAATGAGCTAATTCCACACAGCAGCGCTCTTTTATATCTTTTCAGGTTAAAGCAGAATGATGTGCAACCAAGTTGTATAAAAGCTACAAAGACTCCTCCCATTATGAGTAGTTTTCTATCAAGTAGCGACACTGGCTTTTTTCCTTTTGCATACACGGCGAATGAGAACGACCTAAATTTGAGTTTAGTTCACTCATAATTACCAAAAGTGCAGGAACTCAGCGATGAGTAAATTTGTCTCATGGTTTCATAAAAAATCTGCCAGAAAATGAGGAAATTGACGAAAACTTTATTCAGTCTCGGAGTAGTACCAATAGACTGAGTGAATCCAATCTTTACTTTTCTCAAATTCGGGAATTTTTCCCTGGAAAATCGTTAAAAAACCTGGGAAAACATGAGGCAAATTTACTCATCGCTGAATTCCTGCACTTTATTTCTTATATCTGAGATAACTAAACTCAAATTTGGGTCGTTCTCATTCGCCGTGATATCACCTTGAAAGATATCGGCGCCGGTGGTTAGCGTTATTACCTCTCACCCCAGCAGTTTTAAGGCATAACATCTCTGATCACGCCTTCCTTCGGGAAGTAAAGCCGTTGGTCCCCGGTTGAGGTGATGGGTCGATTGGTAGGGTCCCTGGCGTCGGTAGCATTGGAGCTCAGTACGGAAAACAAATCTCGCGTCACTTTTCAATAGGTCCTACCTACATTGATCGATTCTCTTCATCGACACTCTCTTTCGTAAATAACTCGCCTTTACAAATGTTTCCTGCCGTCTTCGTCGAATTAGATGCTAGATTGTTGCTTCTTCCATCGAAAATATCCGGCCGTGGCGATTCAAAGTTAATCAAGGTTGATCAAAATAATTTGTACCACTGCGTCCAGTTTGATTACATGAGCATTTTGTGTGGTCGTTGGTTCTGAATATGGACAAACAGGCAGATGAATTCTATTCCTACTCTTTACTGTAATAAGCTTGATGGCCCTGAAAAGAGCCGTTTTGGTGCCAAAGTTGATGATAACTTAACCTCCGAAACCAAACAGAGTGCGTCTTCAAAACGTAAATGACATCTATGGCCGCTTACGCTTGGCGTGTTTAGTGTAGGTGACAGCATCACGGATCTCATTTTTCAGGAACACTTTCAGCACACCTCTTAAATCAGACCAGAGATACGTCAGACACCGCCATGGCGAGACAGACGACGGATGGTGGTTATCTTGAAGAATTTGCGTTTGGTTCTGAATATGCCGATGAGTGTGCAAAATATTACGCAATTCCATCCTCCCTATTTGCACGCGTCCGAGGATTGGAGGCGAATGCCACTTCGACTTGTTTCGTCTACTTACTACTCTCTGACGACTGTGCTGGGGAAGCAGCATATGCATGTAGGTAATTGGTGGATTTGTTAGTTAATTCGACGTTTTTGGACAATTACCAGTCATTTACCAGTTTTTCAATAGTTTCTTGTTGAAAATCAACATTCGGAAGCATTGTTATCGATGCGTAGCCATATTTCTGATCGATTGGTGATAAAATTATTGAAAGTGGACCAGGGGCATCTGAGTTATTAAAGTTCAAAATCTTTCTTAATTTGTTACATGTTCCATTTTCGGTTTTCACAAAGTGTACCCCCATATAGAAATCAAAGACGTAGTCCTACGTCAAAAAGATATGAGAACATACGCTGGTTTGATAACAAGACTGTCCTTGTAAATATCACCTGAAAAACATTGGTAAACTTCATTTAGATAAATGTCGCTTTTGTAACTTAAAGAGTGAAAGCTCTGAACATTTGTTGTGTGACTGTGTTGCACTATTTCATAAACGATTCAGATATCTTGATAAGGGTCTGATGAGATCTTGGGAAATCTGGGCTGCTGCTCCCAATCAGGTAATAAATTTCATAAGGAATGTATTACCTGGTTGGGATAATTGCTTACAACAGTAGTGGTAGTTACTCAAACAATAGTGGCTTACTACTACGTTATGGCATAAATGACAAGAGGATATACCACAATAGATCAAAGTAATGGTCGCGGTGGTATCATAGAGGTAACTCTAAGATCACTGGGTCCCGAAGAAAATCATTATTATTTTTGGCTCACTCAGTACCAGAACAACGGTCCCAAGCAGTCCCAAGCTATTTCACTCACCCCTGCATGTTCTGCATGAATGCACACACCCCTGATGATATCTGTCAAACTTTCATAGCGAATCAAAACAAACATAGTGTAGTAATAGAATTTCAACTAGAATAGGGTACGTTAATCGTTTGCTTGGGACCAATAGGCTACTAAAGTGGTGAGCCAATTTAAAATCGTTAGTTTCGTATTGATTGTTGGTGGTATTATGTCCCCAACATAGGGAAAAAAGGCAGCCGAGCCCCTCATAACACAACACACAACTTATAACCGAGTTGTGTGTAAACCATTAAAACCCGGCGATGGCAGCTGCCTCATAAAACACGACAAGCAAGCAATGTAAGCATGTGTAGAAATCTTGAGCACTGATTACCGAATCCTGTAAACCAGTACATTCTGGGAGTTCAATTCCCGTTCTAACAAGAAACCGAGAATACCTTTGCAACTCTACGTATGTCACACGAAGGGCGTTTTTGTTAGTATACAGAAAAAAAAGTTGTTGAATAGGTATTACATCCAAACTGCTGCAACCAGGTCAATCAATCGGTTGTGTAATAGGGTTACGGTATGTAATGTGGGTCTAGTCCTTTCATTCGGCCTATCACGCAAATAAATAATTAATTAAGGAATATTACACAAAAAATAAGGAAAATATTGATCACTGATGGTTGATAAATGTGTACCACACACAAATCAATTTATATCACAACATTTCAATACATTTTCAGCTCTCGTAAGTAATAAAACTGGTTGAGAATATCACAATGTTCGGAGTTTTTAGCCGCCATGACTTATAAGGTTAAGATGGGAAGGTTGACTGACGATCATCAAATGGCCTGATTATGGCATTTATTGATTGGAATTACCTGATAATACACACTAGACGTAAAACTTACAGTTGCTGTTTGAATATTTTATGTTTATTTTAATTGTTTAACAACGTTTTCACAAGTAAAACATGGACCCAACTTTAGGGACACATTTCTTTTCTATGTTCCTAACTATGGCCCATGAAATTCATTTGACAGCATATAGCAATAAGAGTAACGTCAACAATGTTGTTTTGCATTTGGATGATAAGGAACGAACAGGAAGGGAGATTTTTTCTGCCAAACCTGTATAATGAACATCACAATGTTCTGATTTAGATATTCTGCGGTCAAAAGACGATAAGCGAAATTTTTAATTTTTAATTTTTAAATTGAGTGATTTAATGTAGTTTTCGTAAAATTTTCTCTAAGAAATGTTTTGAGGAATGAAGAGCATTAAGTTAACAGTGATAGTGATAAAAAAAAATACATCAGAAAACGTTACCAAGAGCGTTTTTTTGAGGATCAAACAAGATAGGACGAAGTTGCATCCATAAATAGACCCAATTTGGGGACAATAGACCCATATTACATACATTTCCCTCGTGAGTTATTGTCTTAAAAAAAGTAAGTTTTTCAACTTTTCGTGGTTTCTGATAGCAAACGACATGATAAGCATATCTAAGCATACCATTTAGCAGTAGAATATCGTTTGCAGGTAAATTCATTGATGAGTTATGATTAAAAACGTAATCGATGGCTGCATATTAGACCGAGGTTAGGGACGTATACCCTATAACGTTGTACGAGGTACATCGATTTAGCGAACAAAATTACATCCATTGATGTAATATTGTATCTGTTTTTTGCTATTACATCATTATTTCATACATCAGCTTGAATAACATTGATCGATATTACATTTTTTTGGTGTGTAGTCAATATGAATTACACAGCAAAAAAATAATTTTGATATCACGTCAAAGTGGATGCACTACAATCATGTCGAAAATATGGTGTAATATTACTTGCTAAAAAGGACAAAATTATCATTAATACAATGCATGAACTGGCATTACGCTGCTTTTACTGCATTTGTTTATTTATGTGGTCATAAAAATTACATGAAATTTTCGACATGATTGTAGTGCATCCACTTTGATGTGATATCAAAATTATTTTTTTGCTGTGTAGGTTTGAATTAAATTTGGAAAGTAATGCGATCTTTAAAAGCATTTATGGCGAGGATGCGTCCCTATCAACTCAGTGACATAAAAGGGCCTGAGGTAGAACATGGGATCTTCTGCTGTACGATCAACAATTCTCATCAATCACAGAGTAGCAACATATTGTATGTGATGTGATCAATCAAGCCGATGCTCAAGCAAACCAGTACGAAAATTCAACCAGATCTTTCCAAACTTTTTAGAACGTATGTATGTACTTACGAGAATGATAATATATAATGCATTGTGCATATAGATAAAAATTATTTGTATGTCGCTGATGAATTGACTACAGACGTGACTGGTAGCATTGCAAAAGAACTTTCTAAACTGTAGGTTAAGCATTAAGAACACCGAAATTTCTGTGCCCAAGGGTACCTACAACACAGCTTTACAAGTGTTCCCTCTATCTAGATTCATTAATGAATCACTTCGTATTATTCTTCACCAGAAATAGCAGAACCCCGGGCAGGAAATGGCAACCTCACAGTAATAATAACCAACGGAAATAGATTAGAACATACACGTCCATCTTCCTGTTCAGCTGTTAAATTATAGGTTGTTGCTACATTAATCAGTCTTCGAGTAACGATGACAAAATAATTAACCAGGCACTGCTAACAATGTGCTGAAATAATCTAAATAGCTAATCTTAAATTTACAACCGTATATAAAGCGCATCAAGCGGTACTGAGCTTATTACAACTGTGAAAATGGGTCGGCTAGGTATGTTGTTTGCACTGTTTTCAATGACATTGATTTTGTCAGAATTTGCGCTAGCAGCTCCAAGCGAGGATGTACAGAGGGTAAGTATTTGTTGCCACAAAATATTTAAAAAAAAATGTACCGTTTCTTTTTCTCATATCCATTTTAGACAAAACGAAGCCCACAAATGCCAGAAATGCCGCAACCTCCAGCCCCACCTGGTGGATTTCCCAGTCCACCTATGCCGTTCAAAAGGGTATAGAGCATGATTTTTGTTTTGTTTTTTATTTATTATAGAGGTTTTCAGTTATTGACTAGATCGCCCCTCTATAGAGCATGATGTAAACGATTGTTTTATCTCTAACGTATATTATATTCAAAATTTATCTATTCCAGATTGCAAGACAGATATCGGAAGATGTTCCTGAAGGACCTCCTGGCGATTTACCACCAATGAGTGTCCAATCGGCTTCTTGGATGGTCTGATGTCAACAGTAACATAAGCATAAAACGTGTTTGTAAAACCCAACACACAATTTCTCTGCTTTGCAGCATCCACACACCAGAATCCAGCGCGATGTCCATCAAAGTGAGGCGATGAAAAGCAGTCGAAGTGGTCAGAGGAAAAAAATGCTGAACTCCCGGATTAAGCGGGAAGCCCGCGGAACTGGTGGAAAACTCTCAACTCGAGGTGGTTAAAATGTTAGTTTGAATATCCCATTTATCTTTTTAGTGTGTTTTCTTGATTCAAGTGTACTATGACAAATCTATCGAAATAAAGCTAGCAATCAATCCAACCTTAGGGGCCATGCATTAATTATGTCACGCTAAATTGAGAGAAAATTTACCCCTCTCTCCCCTTTTGTCACGTTTTTCCTATACGTAATGCATTGCTTGCCAGAAAATCTTACAACCCTCCCCTTCTCCCTCCCCCCTTTGAGTGTGAGTGACTGACATAATATATGCATCACCTCTTATCGATACAATTATAACACAAGCCAAAATTCTCATTCATTCAAGGATAAAGGATGAATAATATTGAATAATAGAAAGATGACAGTAATTTGTAGAAAGGCTCATTTGATGTGAATTGTAGAATATATCGCTAAGTATTCCGTATCAAGTATCAAAAGTATTCCGGAAACCTGAGGATCGGCTACATTTGTATACAGTACAAGCCAATCTGGCAATAGCCTGAATTTATGTTTCCATAGTATTTATTTGGTAGGCTCATTGCCTCTGGGAGCTAAACGGAGCCGATGGAATTATTGGTGGGGCGAGGTAGGAAGCAACCGGAGGGAAGAGTTCGTGCTCAATGGGGCCGAGCGGAATGATGTGATATGGTGGAAGAGTGAGTGATGGTGGAAAATGTGCGTTAAGCACACGATTCACCAAATAATATTTTACACGAGATCCAGTCACGGATAAATCGGCAATGCGAAGCAAACTGGCGATAATAGGGTTGGAAACTAGCGAGGTTTGGTGCTTTTCAAATAACCAGATAAAGCGCCCGTTCTTCCAGACTAGTGGCCACATCGGTTTCATAATGCATTATATGATGAGCGAATATCTATAGGATTTTGTATAGACTTCAGATTATTTCATAACATTCCTGATATGATGAGATAATATCTAAAGGTCTAAGTCCTTACAAGCAGTGTTGGGAAAATATCAAAAAATCAAATCTCACCGACGCCCAAGGTCACGCTTGATTTTCGTAGACAAAAATCAACAAGCAAACAACTGCGGTTGATTTTGCAAGCTGTGATATAGCAGCTCGGAATATCAAGCTAACAAAACTCACCAGCTGCAAATCTCAAAAAACTGTGGTGAGATTGAGTTTCATGATTTTTGCTTTACACCCGAATGCAACCGAAACTTCCATAACGGCTGGCAGCAGTCACTTCGTGTCTACCATAGGCGAAGAGTAAAAAGAGATAGCAAAATATACTTTCTCTTTCTAATAAAACGATATGCAACGGAATCATTTTTGTGTCGAGTCAACCCTCAGCTTGATTTTTGCACGTTGTGAGTAGTCTCGCAATGTCATAGGAGCTTATAAAATCAATATCAAGCATGATATTTTGTTCCAATATCACGCGATTGCATGAGAGCGGAAAAATATCAATTGATTGCTGATTTTGCCAACACTGCTTGTAAATATGTATTTTTTAAATTATTTTAAATAAGTTCCGATACAGATTTTGCATATACAGCCATTCCACAGCAAAATGATATAGTGGTTCTCAGAATGTCGTAAAATTTGGTAGTTTTGTTTCTTATCGCAAAATATTAGACTCGTATTTGTTATGTTGTCATGTTAGGTGGTCCAAAAAATCGATGTTTTTCAAAAATTCATAACTTTTGAACCACTGAGCTGATTTCAAGGATACGTAAATAGAGGCCGCAATATGTTTTTATATTTTTCCTTGAAAATTTAGGCTTGTTTACACATTATATCACAAAATCAGCAATGTGTTAGTTTTTTTCGATTTTGAGTTAAACCATAAAACCATAAAAATAAATACAATCAATGTTGTGTCCAATACAAAATCTCATTTTTTATTTTATTATTTTTTTTTTGTTTTTTTTTTACGTAGGACTACGTCTTTGATTTCTATATGGGGTACACTTTGTGAAAACCGAAAATGGAACATGTAACAAATTAAGAAAGATTTTGAACGTTAATAACTCAGCTGCCCCTGATCCAATTTCAGTAATTTTATCACCAATCGATCAGAAATATGGCTACGCATCGATAACAATGCTTCCAAATGTTGATTTTCAACAAGAAACTATTGAAAAACTGGTAAATGTCCAGCATTGTCCAAAAACATCGAATTAACTAACAAATCCACCAATTACCTACATGCATATGCTGCTTCCCCAGAACAGTCGTCAGAGAGTAGTAAGTAGACGAAAAAAGTCGAAGTGGCAATCGCCTCCGATCCTCGGGTTCGTGCGAATCGGGAGGATGGAATTGCGTAATATTTTGCACACTCATCGCCATATTCAGAACCAAACGCAAATTCTTCAATATAACCACCATCCGTTGTCTGGCTCGCCGTGGCGGTGTCTGACGTATCTCCGGTTTGATTTACGAGGTGTGCTGAAGGTGTTCCTGAAAAATGGGATCCGTGATGCTGTCACCTACACTAAACACGCCAAGCGTAAGCGGCCATGAATGTCATCTACATTTTTGAAGTGACAGAGACGCACTCTGATTGGTTTCGGAGGTTAAATCATCACCAACATTGGAAACAAAACGGCTCTTTTCAGGGCCACCAAGCTCACTACAGTAAAGAGTAGGAATAGAATTCATCTGCCTGTTTGTCCATATTTAGAACCACCGACCACACAAAATGCTCATGTAATCAAACTGGAAGCAGGGATACAAATTATTTTGATCAGCCTTGATCAACTTTGAATCGCCACGGCCGGATATTTTCGATGGAAGAAGCAACAATCTAGCATCTAATTCGACGAAGACGGCAGGAAACATTTCTGGATCAACAATAGAATAGGGCCCATCAGCATTTGTAAACAAACCGTTCCAAAGCCTCACAAATCGAAGGCCGCTCACATAAACCAACACCAACATCTTGTAGGTAGAAGTTTCCCCTATCCGATGATGGTGTTGGTTTGTGTGGGTGGCCTTCGCTTTGTGAGTAAAGGGCTTTGGAACGTTTTGTTTACAAATGCTGATGGGCTCTTTTTTATTGTTGATCCAGATTTGTGAAGCCGAGTTATTTACGAAAGAGAGTGTCGATGAAGAGAATCGATCAATGTAGATAGGACCTATTGCAAAGTGACGCGAGATTTGTTTTCCGTACTGAGCTCCAATGCTACCGACGCTAGGGAGGCAGCTCCCAGAGGTGTTATGCCTTAGAACATGCCGGTGGCACCGACTGAGATTGGACCCAGGCCTGCTGGGGTGAGAGGTAATCACGCTAACCACCGGCGCCGATATCTATCACGGCGCATGAGAACGACCCAAATTTGAGTTTAGTTATCTCAGAAATAAGAAATAAAGTGCAGGAACTCAGCGATGAGTAAATTTGCCTCATGTTTTCCCAGGTTTTTCCAGGATTTTCCAGGGAAAAAATCCCGAATTTGAGAAAAGTAAAGATTGGATTCACTCAGTCTATTGTTACTACTCCGAGACTGAATAAAATTTTCGTCAATTTCCTCATTTTCTGGTAGATTTTTTAGGTTTTCCACAGGAAATCATGAGACAAATTTACTCATCGCTGAGTTCTTACACTTTTGGCGATTATGAGTGAACTAAACTCAAATTTGGGTCGTTCTCATTCGCCGTGTACGCAAAAAAAAATTGCCAGTGTTGCTACTTGATAGCTATCTACTCATAATGGGAGGAGTCTTTGTAGCTTTTATACCACTTGGTTGCTCATCATTCTGCTTTAACCTAAAAAGATATAAAGCAGCGCTGCTGTCCTGGTATCAGCTCATTTTCGCTTTGGACGGCGTGGTCAGCAATAGCAGCAGTAGGAAGGTTGTTAGTCCACTTTTCTATAACCAACAAGCAACAATTGACTGGTCGTGGCAAAGGAGGTGCCAATCGTCATCGCAAATTCTTCGAGATAACCACCATCCGTCGTCTGGCTCGCCGTGGCAGTGTCAAACGTATCTCCGGTCTGATCTACGAAGTGTGCTGAAGGTGTTCCTGAAAAATGAGGTCCGTGATGCTGTCACCTACACTAAACACGCCAAGCGTAAGATGACCTCTTCAATAAAACGGCCCTTTTCAGGGCCATCAAGCTTACATCAGTAAAAAGTTGGAATAGAATTTATCTGTGCTTGTTTGTCTATATTCAGAACCACAAGCCCCCAACGTCCACACAAACTTGGAAGCAGGGGTGCAAGTGATTTTGATTGATTCTCGTAATCAACTTTCTTTTTGAAAAAGATTACTACATTACTACTACTTCACATTTATTTCGTCCACTAGCGGTCCTACGTCAAGCTTCCGTTCGTGCCCCTAGCCACAGACCCTTTACTTTTTTTAATTACCTTTCATTTTGGATATTTGAATCTTTGAAATCAGCCGAGTGATTCAAAAGTCATAAATTCTTGAAAAAATTCGAGTTTTTGGACCATCCTAACATGGAAATGGTCACCCTAATGACATTAAAAAAAATACGATAAGGAACAAAACTACCTGTTTTTTTTACGAAATTCTGAGAACCGCTGTATCGTTTTGCTGTGGAATGGCTGATATATGCAAAATCATTGATGCATTGTCCTCTTTTCAACTACACCAACTACATGATGCTAAGCCGGCGACGGTGGTGTAGTGGTAAGCGTGACTGCTTTCTAACACCCCAATGGGTCTGGGTTCAATCCCAGCCGAGGTCGGTGGGATTTTTCTGAGACATAAAAATCTCTGGTCACGTCTTCCTTCGGAAGGGAAGTAAAGCCGTTGGTTGGTCCCAGCCCATGTGTGTTGAATGGGTGCGATATCCTACGTAGGTGTGGAAGCTGCCTTCCTGCACATTCGGTTGCAGTCAATGGATGGCAATCGATGTCCGTCGGTGATTGGCACTACATTGCGGAACAGAGACCGACGTTAAATAAAGTAAAAAAGAAAAACTACATGATGCTTACCATCTATTGTTAATTCTGCTTACGATGCTACACCTAACTCATCTGATGTCATCTGCTTCTGGTTTTGTTTATGGTAATGTCACGATCGTTGAGTGTGACTTTAAAGTAGATGACGCTCCTATGTACAGCGTATCTCAAAATTGATCGTACACTCTAGAAGATTTTTT